TCAAAATAGGGAGACCTCCTAAAGACTCCCGCAAAAAGAATGAAAATAGTCTGGGACCCATTAAGTTAGTTGGGTGTCCCCCTATAAAAATACACGCACATATATTTGTCGTATAAGGAAATATACAAGAGATTATATGTTACACAAATATATACAAACATTATGAGATTGTTGAAGTGTTGAATAAGTTTTACTTGGAGGAGAGCAATTTAGCACCGAGTGCTTTGGAAATGACCGTGCTTCTGAGAGAATGAGATAAATGGGGCGGAGACAGCAAATGGAGACACAGTCGGGACACCGTTGGGGGGGGTTCTTCAGTTTGTGGTCTTGGCTGATGTGTTTGGCAGGGATGGTTTGTTCCGGGCTTGAGCTCGGCACACCCACGGCATACTTCCGGTCTCTTTCGGATGGATTGCTTGGATTCCCAGTGGATGGGACATGCAGGGATGTCCAATGATGCACTTTGAACAGAGATCAGAGAGGTGTCATTCTTGGAACTTGATGAAGCCCTGGCCGTTGGAAAGCTTTCTGAACACCACAGGTTCAGCAGCATCCTCAGCAGAGAGCCCCTCAACGTTCCATTGTGAGTAGATGATGCCATCAAACAAAAAAATCCTTTAGCATCTCGCTCAACATGGTGTGGACTTGCCAGGAGAAGCCTCGCCCCATGCGCTTCAAGACAACAAGCGTTCTGGAGCGCCCCACCTCCCCCAAGACGCCACCCTCAGTTGGCGGCGCAAAGCTCAAACGTGCGGCGACCATGGTCGCACGACCCCACACCTTCCACGGCCACAGCCCGCCGCCCTCAGCCTTTTCACGAGACAAGCCCCGGATGCCTGGAAGTCCGTTTTTGGAGGTTCTTCTAACTCTGACGGCATCAAAATGTGGTTTCGTTTTTTTGGGGGGGTGCGAGAGGCAAGGTGAAGTGGGATGATATGGAGAGGTAGGACTTACAACATCACTAACATGCCAGAGTGCTGTTGTTGCCATGCCCAGCTAGAAAAAGCATGAGCTTGAATTGCTAAAACGCACAGAGAAGCCCTGCAGGCTTTTTACATTGTTCAACTTGAGACTGGCAAATCCAAGGACATCTTCGCGAGAGACGAAGTCGACGAAACTCATCAGTGCGAGGCCATTGGCGACGGGTGCCAATTGGCCAATTGCAGTGGAAGGCGGGGAAGATATCATGGGCGACGAGTTACTGCCGGAACATGGAGCACCTTGCAATGGGTGGAGTGACCGTGGAATTACTTTGTGTGTTTCTGAAGAAAGTGGAGTGACATATCTCAGCTTTGTGACTTTTGATGGCTTGTCTAATCCAATGTATCATTAATCATGTCCATATAGAATATAACATTATACATTCATGATTGCCATGTTCTCTCTGTCATTGCTTCCCCAACACTTGTAGCCAACAATTGCCATTTCTCCGCTTTGGGCGGCCAGGGCGCACCTTCTCTCGCACCGGCAGCGGCGATGAGATCTCCGAGCGGGAGACGGGACGCTCTTCACCCTCGGCGTCTCCGGTCATCGCGTCGAGAAGCCCACAGCATCGTGTGGACGAGGCGCCGTTGTTGGTGACTTGAGCGCCGCACCAAGCGAAAGGGAAGGGGATGGTGATGGATGTTGCGTGTGTTTTTTTCTTAGGGGATGCTTTCCTTTGGGAGGGGTGGGTGCACTTAGCTACTGTATGGACTCCACACCAACATATCGAATCTATAAGCTTTCGATGATTTTTAATGGCCAGGCAAAAGAATCAAGCATGGACTTACGGTCCCCAAAAGCAGAATTCGCTCACAGCATGGACTTGGGGAGTTGATGGGGGTTGATGGGAGTTGGGTGAAGAAAACATGGGCAAAAACGCCCCCGGAAATACATTGCTTTGATTCATCCGAGGTGAGTGCCATTGGAGTTCGTCCTAGTCAGAGTCAATTGCTCCCAAGAGTTCAAGGATCACAAGGATCTCCACATGTTCGAGCCCATAGGGCTACACCATCTTCACAAGTGCTCAGATCCGCAGGATCTTTGTGCACCGATTCCTCGCGATGAGGCTTCTGGGAGCCAGTTTTTTTGTAGAACCTTGACCCTTGTCCTCAGAAAATAGTGTAGGATCCTACTACCTTGTCCTCAGTGCTCGTTGCGATGTGTTGGGACAAACTGGCACCCAAAGGGAGGGGACATGCTGAGCAGGCCAAGCCTCCCCGTTTTCATCCGTTTTCCCAGCTGAGCTGGACCAAGCCTCCCGCTTAAAGTGAGGAGAAAATAGCGAGAAGCTGCGGGTTGCGTTGGAATGGACAGCGGTAAAGGGGGGTGAGGTGTTGTTTTGCTTTGTTGTTCCTGAAGCATGCATAATGGCAGGTAATCCGCACCACGAGGAACATAGCTGAACGGAACAGGAGGGTTGCTTGATGTGTGTTATTGTGTGTTGCTCCGCATGATTGAAACCATCCTCTTTTTATAGGACATACCTCATTATACCTTTTATCATTTTCCACAAAATCTATATCAGTCTTTATCATATATATATATAAATAGATTGGTGTGGAGCCTGCGAAAAGCCCTTACTAAGCTAAGTTGGCTTGGCTTGGGTGTTTGTCACTGTGCTTGCATGAGGTTTTAGAAATGGGCTTCCACATCCGCCAGCACCTGCGTGTGAACCTCTTTCGTAGCTGGGACTGTCGAGTCGTCAAAGGCAGAGAGATGGGAGGCTCCAAACGATTCAACGAGGGTTATTTAATGAAGGAAAACATAGGAAATCTCATTTTTGGGCAGATCACTAGACTTGAAAGTCTTATTAGGTCAGCTTTCTTGTTCTCAAAAATGTGTCCTTTATGATTTTTGCTTTCGGACGTCTATTCTTGTGAATAATTGAATCTTTGAGGGTTTTGTGTTTGTGCACCGGTTGTTCTTCTGAAATGATTTCCAAATCATCCGGACTCTACATGCTTCTTGCATGTTTCTTCCCCACATTCTATCGTGGAGTTCTTTCTTTTAGCTTGCATCCCGCCGCCTCCTCCTCGTCCTCCCGCCACATCACACACTTAACATCACACACTCAACACCACACACCCAACATCACGCACTCAACATCACACCCTCAACATCACACACTCAACACCACACACCCAACATCACGCACTCAACATCACACCCTCAACATCACACACCCAACAACACACACCCAACATCACACACTCAACATCACACCCTCAACATGACACACCTCTCAACATCACACACTCAACATCACACTCTCAACATCTCACCTCTCAACATCACACACTCAAAATCACCCTCAACCTCACACACTCAACATCACACCTCTCAAAATCACACACTCAACATCACACTCTCAACATCACACTCTCAACATCACACCTCTCAACATCATACACCCAACATCACACTCTCAACATCACACTCTCAACATCTCACCTCTCAACATCACACTCTCAACATCTCACCTCTCAACATTACACTCTCAACATCTCACCTCTCAACATCACACACTCAAAATCACACACTCAAAATCACACACTCAATATCATACAGTCCCTGACGGTGTGATTTGCAGTCTATAGGGGGGTTTCCTGCTGCTCTTGCCAGAACTGTCGCCTCCGGAGCCTCCGGTCGCCGGCTCTCCTTGGTGAGTCCCTGACATTGTGATTTGCAGTTTGTAAGAAGGTCTGCTGTTGCTTTTGCCACAAGTCAGGTGTGGGTTGTTAGACTACTTTTTCCCCACCTTTTAGGTGAAGATTTTGTGTCAGCTGCCTTGCTCTTCCGTCTCCTCCTTCTCCGCCTCCTCGTCCTGACCTCAACTGCAAGTGCAGGATGGCAGTGTTCCCTGCCAGACCTCAACCGCCAGCTCCGGATGGCAGTGTTCCCCGCCAGCTCCGGACGGCAGTGTTCCCCCCCGCCAGCTCCGGATGGCAGCGTTCCCCGCCGGACCTCAACCGCCAGCTCCGCATGGCAGTGTTCCTCGCCGGACCTCAACCGCCAGGTGTTCCCGGCCAGACCTCAACCGCAAGCTCCGCCAGGCAGCGTTCCCCGCGGACCTCAACCGCGAGCTTCGGCTGGCAGTGCTCCCCCTGAACCCCAACCGCGAGTTCCACGTGGCAGTGTTCCCCGCCGGACATTGAGTCAGAAGATATGCCGGTAGAACGCCAGAAAGAATGCCAGAAGATATGCCAGAAAGAATGCCAGAAGACACGCCAGAAAGAATGTCAGAAGATATGCCAGAAAAAATCAGAACAAATGTCAGAAGATATGCCAGAAAGAATGCCGAAATAACTATTCAATGCATGCTTGAAAATTGGTCAGATTGAATGTCATGGTTGTGATCACTCGCAGTTACTATAAGTATGTATTTTTCTGTGAGTTGTTTGTGCTCGATTCTAGGATCTGATGCAAAATTTCCGGACACTTGTCGTTTCACAAAGAAAAACGCACCCCTTTGGGGTTTCGCACGGCCCCGACCCTTGAATCGAGACAATTTGGGAATCAAGTCGTGCAATCTGAGGCAAGTATTTGAACTACACACGGCACTCCAGGCAAGAGCAGTCGTGAGTGTGCGAGTATGTGTTTGTTGTGTGGTTAGCCCCAAAAGGATCCCAAAACGACTTGTTCAAAATGTGTTGTTCATTTATGAATCATACAGTCGCACAGCCACCCTCAAAGTGCAGCGTTTACGTAACAAGGGTGTGTTCCCTCTTGCCCTGGATGGTCCCAGGCTCCTAGACTGCAACAAGGCCACCAACATAATTTCAGAGTGATTGTAGTTAGTAGCTGTGCAATGTTGATTGACAAGACATGTCGCATGCCATGCGGTTTGATTGTCCAAACCGGCTTGATTGTCCAAACCGCTGGCTCGCATTGGGTTTCAGTGTTTTGGGCACAAACTGGAATTGCTCGCCTTCTGGAAACTCAGCGGGCCTCAAAGACCAGAAAATCAACTGTCGCCGGCTGCATGCATTCTTGGCTCAATAGGAGATCCATGTTGCAACTATTGCCGAAATTTGCAGCTTGGCCATGTTATTGAGGTTCCTCTTGTTGCATGTGGCTGCAGTGGCTGCAGATGACACGATTTGCAATTTGCAAAAGCAACATTTCGGAGGGTTATTAGGCTTGCAGCGCGATCTTGAGAAAGATGGAAGTCGAGACCGGCCAAACGGTGTGCAAGACTTGTGGTCAAGGCCTGGCTTCGCGTTCAGACAGTGTCCTAAGGGGACATCCTCACAGTCGAAAGTCCAACTGCTTGCAAGGCCTCACCTAAAGGATTTGCCATCAAAGCCAAAGTGTTTGCCTAAAGAAGTGTTGATCGGAGACTTCGTAGGAGATTCCTACGAGTTTTCCTGTTGCGATGCCGGGGAGCAATGTGGGGGTTGCCGTGCTGTGAAGGATGGCGCTTGTCAGAAGTGTGCTGCTGGATATGTGATGCAAACAATCCCAGTCCTCGGCACTTCCAAATGCTTCGTTTGTGACGATGTTCCTAATTGGCATGACATGCACGGGCAAAGCTGTGCAGACCTTCAAAAGCTTGGCATGTGTTCAGGAGCCTGGCCGAAGGAGGATCAAGATGTTGCATTTCAGGGAGTTAGGCCAAGTGAAGCATGCTGCGCCTGTGGCGGGGGTAGCATCTACCCAACTCCTGTCTACATGCCTTTGCAAAGTAAATCACTGCATTTTGGGCAAAACATTGACGAAACCCCGAGCCCCATCACAGCAGGAGAGCAGATGGTGGCGCCAGGATGCACACTAGCATCATCTGGCCTTGAGCTTGGTAAAGATGGCCGTATCTCCGGAGAGGTCACCATGAGTAATCAAACAGTGATCAAATGCTCCACTGTGTCGGTGCAAGATCCAGTACGGGGAATTGTCGCCAACATAGATTTGTCAGTGCCTGTCTCCACTTTTTCTTATGGTCAACAGACTGTATTCTTCAAGTTCTGGGGTTTGGACCGCACTCCATCGCGGCAGATTGTCCGCCTTCGGTCCAAGAATCGTAGAAAGCTAAAGCTGACGAGTTTTCAGCTTCAATGCGATCCTGCATGCCCATGGCTTTCGATCACTTCCAAAGGTGACCTCCTCTGGAATTCAACCAACGGCCATGTTCCCCATGGCAGAGCTGGCTCTCCTGTTGCGTCAGATGACTTGACGGAGGTGACTACATTGGCAGGAGGGGGTTGGCTTTCCATGTGTTCAGCTATACTACCGCTTATATAATAGTATTTGAAGCAACCTTGCAAATGGATTTGTGTGGTTAGGGGTGGACAGGGTAGGTACCGTGGTGACATGTTTGGCGTATAGTTGGGCATGATTACTTTGGTTCTTGCATGTATGAATCAATAAACTGGCCTTGCAAGGAATGCCATCTTGCAGCTGCCAGGTGCTTGCAACCTTGCAAACACAACAAGTCTCTACACAGTTTTTGGCAGCTCAGGCACGCCTGTGGAAAGGAGCAGTGTGGGATGTGCCCAGCATCGTGGCTCGCATCTCTACAGAGATTCTGGAGGTGCCACTTTTGGAAGACCTAGGATTCTTAGTTGAAGGAGCAAGAGTATCACGTATATAATATATATACTCGTTGGAAGCAACACTGATTTGGAATCAGGATTCCAAGAGCAACTGTTGCGTTGGACTGTTGGATGAGCAGCTTAAGCTGAGGACCTGGCCTACGCTGGTACAATCGCTCCGGCCATGTCTTGCAGGTTCCGGTGGTGCAAAACATTGAGACTGGAGAGACCTTCGTTGTGTCTGAGTCCATCTCTCCAACGATTTTGGATGTGGATTGCAAGGATCATCAAGGAAGGATTTTGTCATGGTCTCGCAAATCTGGTGAGGCCATTGTGCTTTGAAAGTTTGGATCGGCCAATGACTGGATTTTGAACATGCTTTAAGTGTGTTTTACGAATCGACCCCTCAACAGCCCACACCTACAGCAACGGGAACTCAAACTAACACTCCTCCCAACATTTGAAACTGCCGTATGTAAACCTCTACAGCAGTGCCTGCATAGGTTCGTTTATAGGTTCCACTTCTGTACTGTAAAATAAAAATCACCTTTGTGCATTTCGATTCCCACAGAGGTGATGTTGGACAACGAGTTGGCCTTCCAACTGGACCCGTCCACGGGTGCCATCAGCGGCACTCCTCGCTTGAGCTTGCCCGCCACCCAGGGCCGAGCTGAGGTCAACGTGACCTGCCACGTGGCGCTGGGAGGCCGTTTCGATCCATCGGACCGTCATCGTACGTGACCAACCGACCGAGCGATGGCCAGCCTAGTAGCCATGGCTTTCAGCCATGTCCAGCCTAGTAAGCCTAGTAGCAATGGCTTCCAACCTAGTAGCGCTTAGCAATGGCTTCCAGCCCAACCAGGGCACCCCTTTTCAGCAACAAAACGTCGGGTGGTGGACCCAAACGGGGGCAAGTATCAAACGGGAGTCGTATCACGGGTCCCCCGATTTGGATCCACAGTCATCTCAAGGTAATTTGTTGATCCAGCGTCTTCTTGGAGTTCAGGGTATGCATGTACACGTTGCAAAGGCATGCAAAGGCTGTTGTTGGTCCAATCGGTTGCTGTATGCAACTATAACACGTACTGTAATTACAACATGAGCATGTGATGTTAACAGAGAGCTGATGGTTTGGATTCTGCCCCTATCCAGTCACCGATGCCCCAAATCATGGGTTGCTCCCACGCATTCACCCCATTCTGTGACTTGCTTGCTCGAGCTCTCAGTTCAGACCAATCTGGAGTCTGGCAGTTTCTCCTTCACGGCGGCTCTCATTGTCTCTCCAAAGTCAGGTGACTGCTCATTGTCTCTCCACAGCCACGCTATGCCGCTCTACTTCGTTGCTAGTTGGGTCCCATTGGTTGGCTTAGCCAATGGCTGAAAATCTTGCCCATTGGCCTACTCTTGTAGGGCAAACCTGTGCACATTCCAAGTGTCAATGCAATTCTTCTTGATTTGCCCCGTTTGGAAGCCACTAGTTGTACTGTACTTCTTGCAGCTTGCACCTTCCGTGAGGCCCTTTCTATGATCAAGCCCTGCCAGTAGCTATCTTCCACATAAGGCTGTTGGATGATGTTTGCCCGGAAGCCCAGCTGAACATGAGGACATGGTCTCCTGGCTACTGCCCAAGGTCTTTGAAGCAATTTGACAATACATTCAATACATGCCAAGAATGACGTTCATTTGCACCAATCCCGAGTTCCTATGTATAAAACACGCCACTAGACTCATACTTTAAGTAAAAGCACGTGCACCGCGTAACGATGTTGAAATTGTGTGCTTCAATATGTGCAAGTTCGATGCACATGTGCATGTTTCTTCAGGACTGTGCAATGGGACAGGGAAGACCATTCGATTTGTATGTTTGTCTTGTGTTTCATTGTTTCTACTGTTTAACGTGTTTCATCTGATCCGAGGAACAAGAAAAGGCTCGAGCTATAATATATATATATATAATGACATAAGCACTTGTGACGGACCAACTCTTCAGTTTGGATGCAGTTCCCAGGTGCCCCTCGCAATTGAACCATACTAATGCTATAGTACTAGAATTCGCTGATGTGATAGACATTTTTACAACAAGCAAACAGTACATCAATATAGTGTTGCTTACAACAAGAAAGGATACACCCTTTCAATGCCGTTTGGATCAAACGAGTTCGACAACAGACGATCACATCTTGCCAGGCAACTTTCCGTTTTCAAAGTGTTTCCTATCAGTCTGATCAGAACAAAAGGCGTACCCTACTAACAGCATCTAAAAGCATGCTGCTAGGGTTTCCGATATTTGGTGCCTTTAGTATGCAATAAGAGTCATTATTATTTGACTTGTGCCATCATCTGAATGGTTTTGAGTGCCTGCAGTCCAAGGTTGGGTGCCCCGCAATATTTCGGGACACTTCCGTTGGAAGGAGAAGTCCGTCCAGGAACCACAGTGCCTCCAAACATGCCGACTGCGAGACGATTGTGCAGCCGTCCAATACAAGGAGGACACTTGCAGGTTTATGGTCAGTGATGGGAAAGAAACATTTTTGGACGGTCAGGTGCTGGTGCGGCTGAACAATTGCTCAGAGCAAGATGCTAGCCTTAACTTGGCTGTGCCTGGAGCCCAGTATCTTCAAGGAGAATTCGGAGTGATGAACTTCTACCAGAATGATGCCTCGTATTCTCGTGCCGGATCGCTTCCTGAGCGACAGTTGGTTTTGGGTCGAAGAGCAAGCGTGCAACGAATCCCTGAATCTTGTGCAAAGCTCCTTGACAGAGCCAAGGGTCCCAAAGATCATTCGGTTTATCATACGGTCTATCCAAGTTCGGGCCTTTGATCTCTTGAGTCTTGCTATTTGGTTTTGGGGTGGAAGATGGGAGAAGCTAATATAAATGCATGGGAGAAAACATATGAGGTGGGGTCAAAATAAGTGTAGACTACTTTAGTCAGGAGAGGTCGATGTGAATGGCTTAGGGTGAGGATGTATTGGAAACCGATAAGGTCCCCCCCAAAACCGATAACCTATGTATGATGGTATTTATTATCATTTTTGACAGATCCTTGCGGTACCTGTTGCATGTCAAATGAAAGCCCCACTGACAGTACCCTAGTGGGTGGCTTCAGCCATATGATATGGAATCAATATGTTTGTTGCTGTGTTGTTCTTTTTCTAATCTGCAGCCTTTCATTGAAAAATCCGGATTCTATGTGGCCACTACGCCGATAACGAAACCGATAACTCGCCGATAACCGTTTGGATATGTTTTCAGCTTTCATAGCCACTTGCCCAGAGCCTGCTGACGAGACAGCTAAATTCCCTATCGAAGACATTGGTCTAGCCTTTCTTCTTGAGAACTTACGTGTTAGTATTTTACATCCCAGCAAACAGAAGGCCGATAAAGATTAAGATAGAGACAGGTATATAAGCCAAATTTCGCAAACCCACTCGAAATTGCAATGCTTTTGGAGCTGTGAACAAGCTCGTCATCCATTGCTTCTGATTTCAGCGAGTAGGTAGCTCCGCTTCATGCATCCACAATGTAAATGCGAATGCCAAAAGCATCTGATTGAACAAAAAGCTGAAAACCGATAAGGTCTCCCCCAAAAACGATAACGATAAAAAGCATCCTTAGCATACATAATTGATTTTGACCGTGGCTCATATGCATTCCTTGCATTCTTCACAGAAGGAAGCAGACTGCCTTTCAACTGGTCAAGGTATAGGTGTCAAGTAGACAGAGCCGTGTCAAGTAGACAGAGCCGTGAACCATCCAACGTGCACTTCGAGCTTTGCAGGAGGTTGTCACACCTCACGAAATGGTAGAGAGATGTAGAGAGTTGGGGCTGCAAAACTCCTGGACCAAGGTCATCATGGTTCCTCCTCCACATTAACACCTCCGACTTCGAAGATTCAACGTTAATCAATGCGCCAGAGTTCTTTGGGGATACCATCGCTTGTATTGACTCCGACGTGGTCAGCAAGGCCTTCAAGCATGGCCAAGATGCCTTCGACTTGCGCTTGCTGCCAAGAGAGGTTGAATCAACTCCCCTCTATGATCAGCCTCCTGCACTGCAACACGGCACACTGGCTTTGGGGGTGCCACCCTGCGAGAAGCCAAGCCAGGACTTGCTCTTGGGGACCTTGAGCGAACCTGGCATTTATTCATTGCACCCATGCGAATGCTTCGGGGCAGCTTATGCAAGCGTCGAGCCTGTGCACGAAGACTCTGATGCAGCGGTGCCACGCAATCCGCAGGGCTACTTCAACAACGGCTCTGCTCCTAAGTCAGTTCACAGTAACTTGAAACCTGTAGGACTAACCTTGTGGCAGGGTAGTAGAGTTTTTGGATCACAACCAAGGAAACAATAGCTGAGGTTTCCGACCAGCTCTTATTCTCCGGCCCGTACACCTGCGAAGAGTCTGTCCGGGTTTCCCAGAAATCCATGCTGTTGTTTCCCCACCTCCTTGGGCTTTGGTGTTTACACTTAGGGTGACTTTTTGTGGACTTGAGGATCATCAAGGGAAGGTTCTTGACCCTCAAGGTAGAAGGCATGTGAGCTCCAGTTTCGGAGGGTCACTTCAGGGGCTTGAGGATGTCCAGGGTGGCGCGCAGACGCCTCTTTCGGATGTTTCAGTAATTCGACGCGACGGCATGGCAGTTACACATCCGAAATGGCCTTGAAAGGTGGAGATGACACACTCAAGATCAAGTACGTAGGGTGTGGTTGCTCCAAGCCCTGGAGAAACCTTGGTACGACCTAAGTAGTGCAGCGGCGGGGTCCAACCAGCTTCAAGTAGTTCACACCCAAGGTTCCAAAGTCTCTTCAAGACGAATGCATAACAGCGGATGCATGACTGCAGACCTGAATCATCCTGCAACAGCCTGACGACCTCTACGAATAGAAGCTGGTTACAACACTCACAAGCATGTAACAGTACAAACATAGCGGGTACACAAATGGACGTCTCCTCCAGCGACTTAGCTACGTTGGACAAGGTTCATCGCTGGAGCCCTGCTGCAGCTCCTGAATCCAAAGCATACACACACGATCACGCTCTACACTACACACGTTCACCTCACCCACACAGCACACGTCACCGCACACAATGTACATGTAACATACCTACGTGTGCTTGACGAGCACTTTAGTGTAGGTTCTTTTTGCTCAAGGTGCTTGGAAAGCCAACCTTTTGATAACTTAAGATGAGTTGAGGGAGCTCAAGATTCATTTGCAAAGCTTCTGAGGCCTCTGTCGGGCATTTCAGCCACCTGGAAATGGACGAATGTCAAAGGGCCTGTGCTTCCAAATCTGAGTGTCAGTTCTACTTGTTTGGAAAGACTGCCCAGACCTGCACCTTGTTCCAGAGCTGCAGCTACATCCAAGATGTTGGCCTGCAGATCACGAACGAGGTCTATGGAATGTCTCCTGAGTTTGGTTCTTATTGCCGCATCGCAAACCCAGAACAATGTTGGCAAGAGATCAAGCGCCGAAGCATGCTGAGTTTCACTCCATCGAATTTGCCCAGCTGCCTTTTCCAAGAGCAATATGAGGCTTGCGATGCGCTTCAGCTTCTTCTTGGAAAGCAAGATGGTCCTTGCAGCCGCTGCCAGTACATTGATGCCTCAAGTGCATTTGCTGCGGTTGGTCTCAAGAAGGTTCCACCCCCAGAAGATTTTCCATCGGCCTCACAGATTTTGGTCTCTTGCAATGACACTTCCAGAATGTTTAGCAGGCTGCAGAATGGTCTTCGCTGGGAAGGTCCAATGCAAGGTGATGCAACCTTTACGTGCGTGAGCGGTGAATGGGTTGGTGAACTTGGCCCTTGGCAATATCTGACGAACTTGACGTGCCAAGCTTAGGGATGGTGCGGGGCAAGGATGCTGAAGGCCAAAGACAAGATTCGGCGCGGCACACATGTATTATACTGTATGATGCATTTGTACTCACGGGCATGTGACTAGAGTATGAGTTCTCAGGTTTTGATTTACATACTTTAGGGTGTTTGTACTGTGAGCTCCTGTGTGCCCAGGAACACATGCATGACATTTTCTCAAGACATTGGACACAAGGAGCGTAAAGATCCGCGAGCACTGACCTGACCAGTACAAGCATTTTTGATCATCTTTGTGGTTGTCATCCAACATGGTTGGACTTTCCTTTGGACTTTTGAGTTTTCATTGGACATTCTCTTGGGCTTTTGAATTTTATTTGACGACGTTGTTTGAAGGTGTTTTGTTTTCATTGGAATTGCTGGCGGCGATTTTGGTGTTTGTCAGTTGTGGCTTTTCTGGGGCTCGTGATAGTTGGTCCCGTTAAGATTTTCCATTGACTGATCCCTACGCCAAATCAAGCCAAGGCCAAGGCTTCACTATCTAGGTATTCTTTTCTTTTTACACTTGTACCAGTGGCAGGCGCCTGCAAGTTTTGCAAGTTTTGCTCCCTTGGAAAACACATCTTGAATCTTGATCTTGAGTTTACATGAGTTTACTGTAAGCTTTGGCTTATATAGTTAAAACTACCTGTTTTCCCGTCTTCACTTCTGAAACGCCACTGCTTTTGCAAAAGCACCTTGAGTAGGTTCAGGTTCAGGTTGAGTGTAGGGTTTATGGTTGCTGCTGGCCGTTTCAAATCTGTCCCCCTACCTTGCAGCGCCTTGCAAGCAGGATCTCGCTTTAAGGTTTCGGGCTTCGGCTACTTCTCTCCTTTGCAGTCTTTGACGAAACCAAAGCAGGTCAGTGAAGTTGCTTTCATGTCGGCAGGTTCATGTGGCTTTTGAGCGGTTGACACATCCGCTGCCATCTGTAGGCCTTGAGCTGATAGGCTGAGGAAATAGGTGCGCGACAGGGCTTGACGCCATTTCGTTCTTTCGTTGGTCGATTCCCTTCCCGCTACCGCAGTGGTGACGCGGAGCTTGGCTTCTTTTGTCCTTGGCCCTTTGGAGGGCCGTGCTTGTTCGCACTCCGCCTTGGTTGATCCTGACTGCATTTGTTGAGTTGACTTTTGGCTTGACTACCCCCGGATTTCTTCCTCTTGGAGACGCCGAAGGTCCCTCTGAGTGTGGTTGATAGGACAGCGAGCCCTGAGTGGCTCACTCGAGACCGTGGACTGGACTAGACCTGTTCGACGAGCCGGACGACCAGGTGCATGCATGATGTCGGAGGACAAAGGGCATGGGTATGCTGGCGGCTGGTCAGAATCTGGATTTGACGCTTCGATCCCCGTTTGGGACGGACGTGCTGACACCCTTCGAGAATTCAAGAAGACAGTTACCTGGTGGTTATCTAGTACAGATCTGTCGAAGACACGTTTCTTCAGTTTGGCTGCCAGGTTTGCAATGCGACAGAAGGGTTCGGCAAAACTTCGTGCTTTGGAGTTTTCTCCGGATGAGCTGGCCTATAGTCCGGAAGAGAGCATTGATGATCCAGACAAGCCCGACGAGAAGGTGGTGTTGAAAGAAGCCGATTACACCATCGGCATTTGGAAGTTGATTGACCCATGGGAAACAATGGTTGGCAAGACTGTGAACGACAAGAAGGGCGAATTGAGAGAAATACTTTATTTGTCCTTGAAACGTTCACCCCAGGAATCCATTGTTGCCTTCTCCCTTCGGTTTCGCGCCCAGATAGCTGAAATGCGTGCTGAAGGCATACAGCTCAATGACGAGGAGGCCGCTTGGTTTTACAGACAGAAGCTGCAGTTGACAGAGATTCAAAAGCAATTGTTGGAAACAGCCCTCTCCTCTGCTGGTGAGAGGTATGCTGAAGCCAAGAGAGAAGCAGTCCGGTTGTTCAAGCGCATCCACATGACCGGACCGAGCTTGAATCCTGCCCCTTGGAAGAGACCACCCCTGAAGCCGTTTTCTGGAAAAGGTTTTTCTTCTGGTCGTAGGCCATCATCTTCAGGTTCCACAGTTGTCTCAGCAGCCTCTGGATCTTCTGGTTTTTTCCAAGGGCTCTCGCATGTCATTGGGTGCTTCAGCAGTCAATGTTGCTGAGCAGGAGCCGACGGAGGAATTTGATGGTGAGGACTATGGGGCCTGTGTGGCCGTTGGTGAGTTGACAGATGATCATCAAGATCAACAAGGTTCAGAGTTGTTGCAGGTCCTCAACGACGAGGTTGAAGTGCTTGCAGCCGAACTTGAAGCTGCAGCCAATGAAGGCTGTGATGGCGCTGAACTTGAAGCGCTTGAGGAGCAGCTTGATGGAGCCGTTGAGGCTTTGGTGACGTTGAGAGAGGCGAGAACTCAGATCGCCTCCATGAGGAAGGATCGCGGCTTTCGTGGCCCTGGCATTGGAAGTGGTTCAAATGCTGGAAAGAAGAAAGCTGGCACTTGTCACGTGTGCGGCCAAGAAGGCCACTGGAAAGGTGATCCTGAATGCCCTGGACCTTCCTCATCGAATCCGTCATCTGGCAAAGGCAAAGGCAAAAAGGGTAAGCTGCAGTCCGGTGTTCGAAAGTCAACCACCGAGTCCCACATCGCAGAAGTGAATGTGATTGATTTGCTTCCCCCAGTTCGTGAAGTCGCCTTCCAAACCGGACCTCCTGATGTACATGAGATTTCGGTCACCGAGTGTTTGTCTGAGGTTCTCATGTCGTTGTCCAACAGCCACCACCTTTCCGAAGACAAGATTTTGCAGGCAGCGTTGGACAGTGCCTGTAATCGATCGTGTGCGGGTACTCTATATATGGATCTCTCATACTGAAGCAGCATTGGAGAAAGCCCCGAACTATATCAAGGAGTTGATCCAGCGAGTTCCTGAACACGAGAGATATCGTTTTGGAAATGGAGGGCAGTTGGTGAGTCGAGAACGAGTCCGACTTCCGTTTGTGGTAGCTGGCAAAGTGATCCTTGTTTGGGTTTCTTCAGTGCCGTGTGCATCCCTGGGTCTTTTGTTGGGCAAAGATGCATTGGACGCCTTGGGCTCATTGTTGGATTTCATGGGCAACCGCATCCAATTTCAGTTGCTTTCCCCTCAAAAGTGGATCCCATTGCACAAGTTGTCAGCTGGTCATTTTGCAATTCCTTGCCTTCCTACTCCTCTCACCCGTTGGCCGTCATTGAGTTCGCAACCATGGGTTCGTGTCTGCAAGGGTTCATGCTGTGAAGTGCAAGTAGAAAGCAAACAACAGTGGATCTTGAAGAAGCTTCGAACGACTTTTTCACAGAGTTGCACCTCGGAGCCTGAGAGTCAAGTGGTTGAGCATTTTGTTTCTGCTAGCTTTTTGGATTTGAGCTTGGAAGCCTTGGGCGATCATGCGAGCCGCGCTACCGAGATGGCAGCCTCACGGCAATCGGCAGCCGCCTTTGCGAGCGGCCTTTCGCTGGAGTCGCATGTTCACCCGCCTTGTTCACCGAGCTCTATGGCATTGGCGCGGCCTGCTCCTGTGGCTGATTCAACGGCCCTATTTGAGGTATGCGCCGTGTCCTCTTCCTTCAGTGACGACGGTGCCGGAATGGCATCAGCAGGTGGACTCCATGGTGGCACGAGGTTCATGGCCTCATCGATGGCAGGCCCGCATCAACATCGGGACCCTATGCACAGCCGTGCATTTGAAAGAGGCCACCCACCTTCGAGATCGCATGGGACTCCGCCTGTCCTTCCTGGAGGACGAGATGATCATGTTCGGCCTGAAGGCCTTGCAGAAGAAGCCTCGCAAGCAGATCCGAGAAGCAGCGGCAATGGGGGCCCAGAGATTGCTCAGCCTGAGCAAGCAGGAGCGCGCCATGCAGCTACGCGCCTTGCTGGGGCCAAAAGGAGGCTTGCCGCGGCTCAAGGAAGAATTGCAGAAGGCTGCTGCTTTGCCCAATACACCCCTGTCTCCGACTGCCACCGTGGACGAGATTCGGAAGCTCTTGCAGCCTATCGTCAAAGACTTGATTGCCAAGCCAAATTGGGAGGCTCCAGATGTGCCCAGGTCCTCGCAAGCAGTAGTGAAAGCGAAGGCCAAACCGTCCGCAGCTCCAGCAACAACAGCACAACCTCAGGTGATCAATCTGGCTTCACAGGATGCGGACGAGGGCTCTTCGACGACTTCAAGATCTACCAGACGAGCGTGTGAGAAAGCTGACTTATGGGCGATCCCATCTGGGATCAGGTCGAGGAGCCGGAGGCGATGTCAGAGACGTCATTCTTCCATCTGCAAATGGATCAGGAAGTTTGGAACGAGACTATCCGAACTCTCCAGGTGGAGGTGAATGCAGTCGACGGCATGGAGGATGTGGAGACTCTTCACACCGGCGATCTTCTGTGAGGCAGAGCGTTGGCAAGATCGTCAAACAGAGCTTTCAGCAGATGAAGACTGGCTTGAAACAGACCATCCACCAAGGTTTCCAACGACTTCGACGACTACATGATGCCTTGGCTGTTGACTATAACAAGGTTCAGGACACCTTGGAAGAGTCTGAGTATGACTTGAAGGCAGCCATTGCTGATGGAGAGAAGGAGTGCTTCATGGGACAAGTTCTTCTCACTACCAGCCTTCGGTGACTTCTCTGAGAGCTTTGTGTTGGAGCAAGCGCTGACCTATGCTCGCCATGGTCCCTTCCTTGGCGAAACCTTCACCGACAGTGAACAAGTCAAGAAGCAAGCAGAGAAGCGAGGTCACTCCACAATGCCAAGCATGACCTTGGGTACGGGCTATGACTTTATGAAGGACAAGCACCAGCAGAAAGCCTTGGATGAAGTTGATCAGGAAGCGCCATATGCTCAGGTGATAGCCTTTCCTTGTGGCCCCTGGTCTCCTCTACAAGCTCTACGTGCTAAAGATCGACATCGAAGAATGCTGATGCTTTGGAGGAGGAAAAAGCATCACAAGCTGGTTCGCTTTGCCGTCAAGATGTCCAGAAAACAAATGGCTCGAGGACGACACTTCATCATTGAGAACCCGTCCCGCAGTGCCCTTGGAAGGAAGTGCCTGGCCTGAAAGCCTTGGCAGCTGAGCCTGGCATGCAC